GCTCTAAGGGCCATTTTCCTGCACAATAACTACAACTACATCCTCAAGTCCCTGGAGAAGTAAGTGTGTCACCACCCCCAGTCCCAGGCATCACTCACATGGCTCTGTCCTTCTCCATGTTCTCATAGCTGGTCCCTTATCTTCCTGAGTTTTTTCTTCTCCTTTAACTAAGGTTTTTGAAGCCTTCTTTACTGTATATACAAGTGAGAAGGAGAAGTGTCTACTGGACAGAGCCGACTGTGTTGAAGACTTTTTCTCTTAAATTCTGTACTGGGTCCCCAAAGTTGACTTCAGCTGACCGTTGTGACAAGGCTTCATGGGGCAGCAGCTAAAGCAGCCCCTTTCCCCCTTTGTTCCAAAGGTCTGAACTCATCCACCTGGTGGCAGTGACCCAGAAGACAGCTGAGCGCTTGTATCGAGATCACATTGAACAGCAGATCCAGACGTACCAGCGCAGGTCAGACGAGTTGGGTCCCCTACTCCCTACTCCACCCCATCCCCCTGTTTTGTGCTGTCCTCTCCCACGATTCCTTGTGCTCCCTATTCAGCTTTTATCCTAGGGCAGCATGTGGGAAAACGATGGCCACCCTAGGGTGGGGCCTCTCATCTCTGTCTTACTCATTGTTTGGTTTCATCCCACTTTGGGGGTGATACTGGCTTGACCACTGATGCTGAACCTCAAGGATCATTTTCCCTCTGTAGCCAAATGGACTAATATATTTTGGTTATTCTATTCAGAGCTGAACCTTATTTAAGAATAAGAGTGGTTGAAGTAGTTCTGTAAACAGAAATAAATCAGCTAATTAGAATTTTAGAGGGTTGGATTAATTTACAGGCCAAGTGACTAATGAAGTGTGGCAAAAAGTTTATTCATATACAGTTCATATTAGAGCTCATATACTGTACATTTTAGAGATAACTAAGGTAGAGAAACACACGCACAGGATGGGAAAGATGAGAAAGACAAAGGATGGGTCAAAGAATCTTCTGAGCCTCTATCTCATTCTCTTCCCTAATTCTGTGTCTCCTTCCTCTTTGACCTTTTCTGTAGGTCTCTTTTTCCCTTTCCATCTTCTCTTTCTCTTCTGTCCAATCTTGTGTATCTCTCTACTTTAATTGGTTGTCATTTAGAATTGTATTCTGTAGTATCTGTTGAGCATTTTATGTTCCTTGTTCTTTATAATTACATGGGGAAACCCCCCTCCCCCCAAAAAATTGCTTTTTGGTTTAGTTTGACCCAAGATTAGAGAAAAGAAAGAATGAAAAGAGACCATTCTCCCTCCTATCCACTCCTACCCTTATCTCTCCCCACACACACCTGTTCTAGAGGAAGAAAGAGATTAAGGGCTGTGAGTATGTTTCGCCATACCCTTCTCTTGCTCTTATATTCTTGCTCTTGTGTCTTGGCAGCTGGCTAAAGGTGACTGACTACATTTCTGAAAAGAACTTACCTGTATTCCAACCAGGAGTCAAGGTAAATAGGACAGAAAATGTATGCTGTTCAGAGGTCACGTTCAGCTGATATGACACCTTCTTGTCTCTGCACAGAAACTCAGAAAGAGGGATTATTTTTGTCTCCACCTCCAAGCTTGAGAGTAAAATGGGCATGTGATTGAGGCTGTCTGGTCATACTGGACTGTTTCTCCCAGAAAGAATTCTGGGAAGGGTACCTAGAAGCAGCCTGAGTGACCAGTGCCACCCTAGGTATGGCCACTGAGCAGAGGAATTATACCAACCCTTATTTGACTCACATTGTGGTATATTCAGAGATGCCTAGGGTCTGCTTAACCTGGATTGGTACATTTTCATTTATTTTTGTTTCTTTTAAATTTGTTATTGCTATCTTTTGACTGTATGCCTTCACAATCACCTTCATTTACAAATATACCTTCCCAGCTTCCCTGCCCAGAGAGCCATTGCTTGTAATAAACAATAAAAAAGGAGGAGGGGAAAAAAAGCAGTGCCTGACTGTACATGCAGTGTTCCATCCCGGTGGTTCCCTACTTCTGCTCGGCCACACATCACCTTGATCATTTTGCTTGGTTGGGTTTGTCTTGCACTTTCCACTTACATTGTCATGCGCCTTGTGTAGATGGTTTCCCTGCTCATCTCACTCTGCACCCGTGCACGCTCCTCTCTATTCATCATGTTTGTTTTTGCTTTCAGTACAATAATGTTCCATTTTATTTATGTAACACAATTTGTTTCTTTATTCCCCAGTTGATGAGCATCTACTTTGTTTCCAGTACTTTGCTGTTACAAAAAAATGCCGCTCTAAATATTTTCTGTCTTTGACCTTCCTGGGTCTCTGCTTAGCAATTGGACTTCCGGAGTGGATATTTTAGTGACTTTCCAAACTCCAGAATGGTTATATTAATTTACAGGTCCACCTGCAATTGCTTTAGTATGCCTGTCTCCACAACCCCTCCAACATTGACTATTCCCATCTTTTGTCATATTTGCCAGTTTGCTGGGTGTGAAGCAAAACTTCAGTTATTTTGATTTACATTTCTTATTAGTGATTTGGAACAACCTTTCCTATGCCAGTCATTTGCAGCTATTCTTTTGAGAATTGTATGTATTGCTTGACCACTTACCCAAGGAGAAGACTCCTGGTCTTATATATTTGTGTTGGTGCTCTATGTAGTTTGGATGTCATACCGTTATCAGAGATGTTTGAAGCAAAGATTAGTGCATTTCAAGTGGTACCAGCTCTCTTTGTTTGCTCCTAAGAATAAAACAATGCGGTCCCCAATGTTTAGGATGCACTCCGGTCGATCTCTAGTTCTGGCAGAGCCGGCCAGTGCCTGGTTGGACTTCACACGTCCTATGGCATGTACCAGACCAGAACGAAAGGTGCCTGGGTGACTGTCACAGGACGACATGTTTCCTGATGTATCCTTTGTTTTCATTGCTATAAGTTATGACTAAGTAATGGGCCCTAAGAGTTTTCATCAGGATGGAAACTTGGACCAAGAAGGGAAGCTGGTGGAGCGATCATTTTGGGAGCGATCCTACAGGACAGGGAAAATGATCTGTTTTCAGAGTGGAACAGGCTCATCTGTCTTCTCTCTTCTCTCTGTCCCTAGCTCCGGGACAAGGAGCGGCAGATGATCAAGGAGCGCTTTAAGGTGAGCCGTAACACAGCCCTCTTCTTCCTCTGCCGGTGCTGCTATGTGAACTGGAGCCCCTGGGCCATTGTCCCCTTTCGCAGCTGACTCCTCTCTACCCACATTCCCTGAAGGGCTTCAATGATGGCCTTGAGGAGCTCTGCAAGATCCAGAAGGCCTGGGCCATCCCGGACACTGAGCAGAGGGACAAGATCCGCCAGGCTCAAAAGCACATTGTCAAGGAGAACTACGGGGCCTTCCTGCACAGGTAGGTCCTCTTTTTTTCCTCCCCCCAGCCCCCAACCTTCCTAGCCGAATCTTTGTGAAGATTCTTGCTTAGCCCATCCGGCTTGTGTCCCCAGCAAAGGGAATAAATAGGGAGACGGGCTGGGATTGGAAAACCAGTGTCTCTACCTTCCGCCCTGGGGCATGTGGTGAGCACGCCACCATGCTGAACCCCAAACCCGGAAATTCCCAGCAGGGAATCCTAAAATCCTAGACTAGGGGGTGGAACTCTACAGCTGCCCTTTCCCTTCTTGATTATCCTATGCCTGGACAGGTATGCCAGCATACCCTTCACCAAGAATCCTGAGAAGTACATCAAGTACCGCGTGGAGCAGGTGGAGGATATGATCGAGCGCCTGTTTGACACATCCGCCTGATTCTGCCGGATCACTGTGGCATCTCTGTGGCCCCCAGCAGGCCTCACCCCATTTATCAGACAGATAAACCAGGGTTCACACTGCTCTTTGGCTGAGTGAGTTTGAAGTCCTTTGGGGCAGGGACCTCTCTCTAGAGATCTTATTCTCCAACTCTTCTTCCTTCTGACAGCCCTGCTTTCATTGGGTCCATGACCCCTCTCTTCCCAACTTGGTACTGTAACTGTCTCTGGGGGAAGGAGGGAAGAAGGCAGACAAAGGGCAGCAGAATGGCCCATCTCCCACTGACTTAGGTAGAATCCCTGAGCTAAGGGTTCTGATCCTCTTCTCAGCTCTCAGACTCTTGGTGTCTGTGTGGCTGAGGGGTAGAACCAAGGTCATCCTGCCCAGTTGTCCTCTCCTGGAGCTGAGTCAAGAGCATTTAGTGGAAACAAAAGGGTCATGATCCCAAGCTGAGGCCCTCCACAGCCCTTAGATCAGAAGGAGCTCTCCACCTTTTCCTTCTCCTTAGCAATAGGCATGAAGAGGTGGCAGGTACCATCTTCACTCTCTGCTTCTCCGTTCTCCTCGAATTACCTTTAGTTGCCATAGGCACCCTGGGACATTAGAGGAATCATCCCTTCATGCTGTCTGTCAGTACCGTACTGCTTTCCCCCTAGCAGGAGGACATAAAAAGAACCCTTACTTCTCCCCAACCCTGCATTCCATATAGTTGTTCCCCATGTACTTTATGGACTGAACTTCTCATTGTGCATGGTGTTCTTCTCGTTGACATAATGTAAATACCCCAAGTTTCAGGATCAGGCAGACAACCCGGGCAGATTGGGCACAGGGGGTGAGGAGGTGAGGGTGGGAAGAATGGTCAGGCATAGCAAGGATCCCAAGGTTAATGTGACCACACTAGGAGAGCTCTCCTTTGGGGAGAGAGGAGTCTAGACAAAAGAAGCCACAGAAGCTGAGATTTCAAGAGTTCACAAAAGGCCCAGTAGAGAGCGCAGGCAGGCGCAGAGATGCATGACCTACCCACCAATATGGGACAAGCTATTTACCCCTGCCATCTGTTTCTAAAACTGCTCCGAGTCAGATACTCCACTTCAGTTTCCCTAGATGCTATAGCCCGGTGAGGTCCAGGGCTGACAGAGAAATGGGCAGAAGAAAAGCTACAGAGGAATGTGGGGTACCCCAGCCTGCCCTGAGGAGAGCGGTCATAAGAGCATGGAGCTGCACTCAATCTCAGCAGAATGGTTTATTTCTCTAGTCATTTGCTTGCTGACGGAGGGAAGGGTTCAGGGATACCCCAGACTAATGAGTTAAAGAGAGATGACCTTGTCATATGGCCTTGACTTTAGCTTTGGAAATCCAGGCTCAATTTGTCTGGACTCTCGGTTCTTGAGAATCTTGAATCCAGTTTCTGATGTTGCCCCTTTAGATGTCAGGCCTTCCTCCATGGGGAATATCCTTAGCGGGAGGTGGGTCAGACTTGCATTCCCACCAGACCCAGACTATGACAAAGATGATTTGACTGCATCCGATGATGGCTACATACGTCAGCAAGAAGATGTGGTCCATAGCCTCAGCCCAAGTCTTCTTTGGCTCCTGAACTTTCCCCTGGGGCTCTGTGAGAGAAATGCTCAGAGAGGAGGCTGCCCTTCATGTGGCAGCACCCTTCCCTGAAACAGAAGATGTGCACAAGGGACCAGACTGCTGCTCTCTCGGCCCTGGAATCCTTTTTTCTTTTTTTTGGAGGAGCTAGGACTGCAGAGTTAAATCACTTTCCAAGAACTAAAACATGCGTATGTGAGTAAAAAATTCCCTGCCACAGATGTCCTTTTGAATCTAGGTGTTTGTATCCAGACTAGAAAGCCCTCAACTATTCCTTATTTTAGACAACCTCCTTAGGGAAGCTGTTTAGGTGTTACCCCAGAAATGTGAGTTTACCTTGACATCCAAGCGCTCTCCCTCTCTACCCTGAACTGAGCTGTCTAAATATGGTCTACTTCATTACTAGAAAGAGTCAGCTGTTTTGGGCAGGGTTGGTATTTGTTTCATTTTAAGGGAAACTAAAAGCACTAGGCTTCTTTCTGCTCAGACCGGGACAGGCTTGAGGACTGAAGCCGGAACAAAGCCATCCCCATGCCTTTATAACTGTTCACAAAATATACTTCTAAGCCTTCCTTGTTTACTTTTGGTGGTGGGTTGTCTCTGCCTACCTTCAGATCTGGGCTCTGGATTTGCCGTGTCCAACCCTTCCTCCCTCAGGGCTAGATTTGGGCTGATCTTCGGGCTGAAGTTGCCTCGAGTCAGCAAGGCAGACATTAACACGCTCTCCATGGTGCTCACGGAGAGTAGTATCAGTAGCAATGTAAAGTAGGAAACTGGAAGGAGGGGAAACAACAGGGTCAAAAGGGACTAGAATCTCAAAAACCACCCAGTCCAACCTGTACCTGACCAACAGAATTCCGTCTGTAACATCCCCAGTGAGTGTTCATCCAGCCTACCCTTGAATATCCTTAGTGAAGGAGAATGTACTACCTCCTGAGGCAGCCCATTCACTTCATGGATGGCTCTATCTGTTAGGAAGTGTTCCTTATATTGAGCTCCAGTATGCCTCTGCAGCAGCCTTCCTTACCTGATGGAGAAGAATCTCTGGACCAGATTTACTAGAGACTGGGGAAATGACAACAAAGGGATCAGTAATGATGCAATCTCATAGATATTCTGGTCCTCAGGGAAATGGGGTTAGATGTGAGAACGAGAAGCCGTGGACATCGGAGTAAGGAAGGAAGATGCTAACAGTGAGCTGGGAGGCTAGAGAATGTGAGATTCCCATACTTGATGAAGGGACTTACTTAGGAGAGGACTGCAGGAGGAAGAGCTGGGGAGGGCCTGTACCAGAGACGAGTGGAAGACGAGGTAGCCAAGCAGCAGCGTCACCTTGTAAGAGATACGTTCAGTAGCCTTCAGAGGCAGGAGGCTGCCACATATATCTGCCAGGAGTATTGCCACCCCTGGCACTACCAAGGCCATTGTTGTCTTCACAGCTGTGTTCTCTAGACTTAGCTGGAGGAAGAAAAAGTAGTGGGTGCTTTTTGAGAAACTCTAAAGCACCTGCCCCAGGTAAATGGCCCAGCTTCCCTCCCCTTAAGCCTTGCTCCTTCCAGGTACTCCAGACCAGTACTGCGGTAAATCCTTAGGAGGGTACACTAAAGGAATGGTTTCATTGGCATTCTCCTCCCCTCTCTTCCCCCTCCCTGGCTTGGAGTACTCCTACTCACCGTCACCTGGAAGCAAGGCACCAGCTGCTGGTGTGGGACCTGAGCTTTTAAGCCTCGAACCACGTATTCCCGCTTCACACCCACAATCTCATTGACTGCTTGGGGATGAAACTTCAACTCTTGAGCTGTATGGGAGTTGGGAAGAGGGATGGGAAGAAGGGGAATGGTAAACCAAGAGGAAAGGAATGCCTCTTCCCTGGGTCCCAATAGGCCCTTGCTTTGGAGGATAGGTCTAGAGTTTGAGAACAGGTGGAAGTGATCCAAGGCCATGGCCAGAAGGAAGAAGCTCTATGGAGAGCAGGAGTTACTGCACACACAAGAATCACCCAAGTTTTTTAAGGTGGTATGTATAAAATGGGGATGATAATAGCACCTACCTCACAGTGTTGCTGATCCATAAAGATAACGTGTAAAATGTTTTGCAAACCTTAAAGTGCTATGTAAATGCTAGCAGCTGTTACCATGTTACTCTAATTACTTAAAAGGTTTTTTTGAGTTCTTGAAGTCCTTTTGAATGACCGTTATGTTACCGTCTTAATTCATAGTACTGGAATAATTTCTAACAGAAAAATTTATATTGGAGGTGACTGGTAGGAGTCATTACCTTCCTCTATACCCTCCAGTTCCTCTTGACCAAGGCAATGGTCTTTTGTTTGTTTTTCACAGAAATGGGACAGAAAGCATGGAATAGTGGTATCTCACTAGTGTTCTTTAAATTTAAAACCTTGATAGGAAGAAGGGGGACAGAAATCACCAGGAAGATAGTGGAACACAGGTAGATACCAGGCCTCTAGCTAGATGTGGAGCTGACAGAAATAGGATTTTGTGACTGGGCAAGAAATCAAATGGAAGTTTAAGGGTAGATTGACTTTGGGGAATTAAAAGGGTGAGTTGTTTTTAGCTGGAAAGTCTAAGCCGAACCAAAGCGAACGTAAATCGAGGAAATGCTGTGCAAAGCTGAATAACCTTAAAAGTGATGGAAAGGAATGAGGGTCGAGTGAGAATAGAATTGGTGCAAGAGTGAGTTCTCTTGTACCTGCCATCCACCTCCCCATACCTGTGTTGCTGAAAGCATAGAAACTGAGGCTGCAGTCACTTTTATCACTGGGGAAGTGGAGAAGTTCAAAGTCGCAGTTAGTCTTGGTGGTGAGCGCAGTGTAGAGCTCTACGAAACCCTCTCTGCTTACCCGAGCCCGTGGGTTGTGCTCCCTCCACTCCACCCAGAGGCTGTGGAAAGAAGAGCCCAACACCAGGATGCCAGTCTCTTTTGCTGCTTCCTTCCTGATTCCATGGCTCAAACAAAGCAATGGGTTGGAAGGTTGGAAAGATCCAGTGGTTTTACCGCTCCCTCCATCTGCTCCTTGGAAGCCATTGCCGGAATTGTGCTAAGTATAGGTGACAGACTTAAAGGAAGGCCTTAGGGAGAGAGTCTAGGGAGGATGTAAAGTCCAGGGAGTGAACGTGGAGCTTTGGGGAAGAGCCAGGAATCACCTAGGGCGCATATCCCGATTCACTTACGCCTCTTGGATTGTGAGGTCTGGGGTCCACAGCAAGGCTGAGGGCAAAGTGATGAAGCTCCGTGGGTCAGTATTCTCATGCCAGGAGAGGTGAGGATCGAACCACGACTAGGAAAACAGGTGTGAGGCTGAGCTGCCCACCTCCTGCTCCCCTTGAGGCGTCAGAGAGAGGCCCTATTGTACGCGAAGACAAAGCCAAGTGCCTGGCAGGAAGCCTGCGCCCCTGATTTGCGTTAGGAAGTACAATATAGCAAACCAGGGTATCATTCTTCGGTCCCTTCCTTTCCCCATTAACTGGTTCCCCCACCCCTTGTTTCCACTCTCACCAGTTTCAGTAGCATCGAGGATGACACTGTGTACTGCAAGATGTCCTGTTAGGGAGAGGGAGAAAAAAGGTAGCTTTGTCACCTGGGGGGCAAGGAAGCCACATAGCAAAGTCAGGACACATCCTAGGGTCCTGCCCCCTTCTCTCCCAGTGTCTCCTCACCACATCGAAGACATTGGACACAAACACTTGCACATCAACGATCAAGGGCACACTGCCATTATCTGGGATCTGAGGACTGATATCAGTAGCCAAGAGCGAGTCCAGGCAGGCGAGGGGCTTCCAGGCTGTGGAAATGGGAAAAGGAGGACAGTAGTGTGTGGTGGGGGGGTTGGGATTTGATAGTATTAACCTGGCCACCTTGAGGTAACAACCCCCAAATATCTGATCCCACACTCCTCTCCAAGTACCCACCTCAGGATGTTGGGGATGGGGGAGAGGAACAGGAAGAGGGATGATGGCCCAAGGAAAGATAGTCTAGGAGAGGGGCCTAGAAGAGATGCTGGGCTTGACCATACCCGACCCAAGGAGGAAAAGCTCAAGCAGCAGCCGCAGAATCGCCATCAGGAAGGCTCTGCAAAGGCATGAGAGGGAAACGTTTAACCTGATCCTTGCGCAGGACTAGAGCTGGGGGACGGAGTCTTGACGCCGATTTGGTCTCTCCTTGCCCCTAGCTCCAAAGACGCTCTAGCTCTTACTGGGGCAGCCAGTACTGGGGAAAGGCTGGACTGCAGAACAGCCCGCTGCTCAGTGCTAGAGATAAGAATCGCTCCGAGTTTGGGGCTCATTTGCCCTCTCTCGGTTCCGCAAATAGCCGAAAACAAAGCCCAGAGCCGGTCACGCCCGCCCCTGCACCTGTCCCTGTACCCAAACTCCCCAGCTACCCTCCCCTCCACCTGGGGTCTAATATAACGTTCAGGAACTAAGGCTGGTCTTGGACACCAAGCACTCACACCTTTTTTGGCCTCTGCGAATTTGTCCTGGCTCCATGGAGCCACATGGAGAACCCTGGTAGACAAAAAGGTAGCATGCACTGCTTTGGCTGTGTCTTGAGTATTATTGGCAACTGTGCACATACTTCATGTAAACAATTAACTTTCTGGGAGTGAGCACTAGTAGCCAAGGAGGTTGGGAGAGGCCAGGGCAGAAGGCAAGCCTCGGGTGGCTGTTTCTAGTCTAGTTTCTCTGGTAACACAGTGCCTTCCTTACGACTACTCAAAGCTTTCACTCCAGATCAGCGCAGACTTTGCAGAACTGGGTTTGACGTGAAACTCTCCAAACTCTGGAAAGAAAGGGGATTGCTGAAAATGACCATAAGGGCCCGCACAAATCTTGGCCTGAGACTCAGTTGGAATCCTAAGTGGATATGTGACCTGCCCAGCGATTTCCCACAGTTGGAGGGAAGGGTCTAGGATAGCCAGGACATCCTAATTCAAGCAAGCACCACCAAGGAGTGTATATGCCTCTCTTACCAGTTAACTTAAGCACACTTAAACACTTTAGTCTCTTCGAAGTCCTGCGCATTTGTCCTCAAATAGCTGTATAAGACACAAGTGGTGCGCAAAGACCCGACAAGTGCCAAAAGTGACCTCTCGTTACATATCAAGTCCTGCTCTTTCATCCCCAGACTCCCTATCGTCTCCTAATTTCTTAGGTCCCACACAGTTGCTGGCGTCTCAGTTCCAAAGTTCCAGAGCTTCATCGGTTAAGGAGCAGAAAGCTTTTTTCAGCAAAACGCAAGAGCCTAATAGGGTGAGGATGGGCAGCCCCCTTTATAATTCCCCAGATTCCTTTTACACAGTCCCTAAACCCCAGAGGCCCCCCCAGCCCACGTTGACAATGGCGGGATACACAGCATTTCAGGCAGTTTGAGCGTTTTAATTGAACCCCGAAGAGCACTATCTCCCGACTGCTCCTGCCCTCGAGCCCCCTCCAAAACGACATCCTTTTTTTTTTCTTTAGTATTTTATTTTCCCCCAGTTACATGTAAAAACAATTTTTAACGTTAGTTGTTAAAACAGTTCCAAACTCTCTCGATTTCTTCCTCCCCATCCCACCCCCACCCCCACCCTCACTGAGAAGGCAAGCAATTCGATATAGGTTATACATGTGTAGTCATGCAAAACATTTCCTTATCAGTCGTGTTGTGAAAGAAAACAGGCCAAAAAAAAAAAAACTCAAGAAAAATAAAATAAAACAGTATGCTTCAATCTGTGGTCAGTTATTTTTCTGGAGATGGACAGCATTTTTCATCATGAGTCCTTCAGAATTGTCTTGGATCATTGTATAGCTGAGAATAGCTAAGTCATTCATAGCTGATCTAACAATATTGCTATTACTGTGTACACAGTACATTTCACTTTGCATCAGCTCGTGTAAGTCTTTCCAGGCAAAACGACATTCTTAAACTCCCTGTGCTACAGGTTCAGCTCTCTTCTCATTGAAGGGGAGGTAGGTACAGGGGTCTCTACTCTCCAGGATGGACCCGGTAAGGGGCTCAGAACGGAGTCTCTCGGAGGAGCATGTTCAGGAGCCAGAAGAGTGGGATCCGCTGCTTTGCAAACGGGGATCATAGCTACGGAATCGTGAACCAGCAGGCTGCCCCGGCGAGCGCTTGTTGGGGCGACTCGCACGCGACGGGAAACGAGCTGAGGAGCTCGGCACAGCAGCCCCTCGCAGATCTTGCGGAAGCCCTTGCGGAAGTGTTTGGAGACGAGTGCATAGACAATGGGGTTGACGCAGGAGTTAGCATAGGAGACTAGATGGGAGAGAATGCGCAGCACATAATTGGCTCGAGTGAGAGGGAAGTGGCCAAACCAGACGGAGAGGATGAGAGCGTGATGGGGCATCCAACATAGGCAGAAGAGCGTGGCTACGATGACTATCATGCGCGTCACTTTGCGCTTGGAGCGCTTGGATACGGAAAGAGCGGCCACTGGATCAACAGCCCTCCAGAGATAGTGCAGGGTTCGAGCATAGGTCAGGCCAAGCACGAGAACGGGCAGCAGGTAGCTGAAGACAAAGGTGCAGAGATCCATGGCTCGACGTCGCTGTGCACTCCAGGCGGGATGACACACGGTCAGGTTAGCCAATTCCGACTGACTATAGTAGCTGAGGTAGGGCCCCGAGAATATTAGCGCCAGTGTCCAGATGAGGCCTATGGCCGCCAGCCCATTCCGAGGAGTCCGCAATTCTCGGGAGTGCAATGGGTAGCGGATAGCCAGATACCTTCGAGGGATAGAGAGAGAAGTCAGTGTAGGGGACTGCTAGAAGCTGGGAGTGGGGGTTGGAGAGCATGGTAAGGGATGTGAAGGTGAGGAGCCTCTGATTCGGTACAGTAAATGGGAAAAAAAAGAACCTGCATTCTCATTTCTGTCCCAAAGACAGACCCAGACAGATCCATTCGAGGTCTCAGACCTCTTATGAATTATTTGAAGGTCCCCTTCAAAGGAATGAACATAGTTCCTGGAGAGTCTTGACTAGAACAAATGTCTCTTGTCACCCAATTGTCCCCAAGGCTACAAAAAAAAATTTCCCACCCTGGAAGAGTAGAGAATGGGAAATGGAACCCAAGTTCCTATTTGCAGCTCTTCCAATCACCTGACAGAATCCTAAGAAACAAATTCCAAACTCTATGTGTTGTCCCAATTACCGGAATATCTGAGGCAGCTTTCTATAATTCGGCAGGCACTCTAAGCCTCGTGAAACTCGTGGAGCCTGGAGGGCTGTTCTAGATGAACCTTTGACTCTCAGCTTTGTGTAATTGAGCTATATACCTTGGCAGCCAGTGGATATTTCTAGGAACCTATCTCTAGGACAGTAAGAGACCCGGAAAGAGGGAAGAATATTTGAGCCTAAAACTGGATTTCCTTGTCAAGAACTTCTGGAGCGTCTAGCTCTCTTTCCAACCCTTTTCCCCTTGCTTTGATCCATTTTGCAGATGAGGTCCTAGGTGAGTACGTCTCAGCTTCCCTCCTGGATATAAAGAGAAGAAGCCCCTCCGTGCCGCTCCCTTGCTCATCCCGGAGCACAGCGCCGGGAAAAAGCACACAGAAACTTGGTGGAGAGCCTGCCCTCTTCTGCTGCGCAATACCTGTGTGGCGTTGCACGTCCGGGCTCTCCCGCTGACAGCTCCAGCCAGTCCTGGCCTGAATGACTCTGCAAAGGGATTCAGGGCCACAGACTAAACTGGAGAATTGTGAACAATCTCGAAGTTCACTAGCTGCCCTGGAGCTGTGCCTTCTTTTGCATCAACCTTGGGTCTGCCACCTACGGAGACCACTTGGGGTTCTTTAAGCAGCCCGGTTCCTGACTAGGACTCTTGGACCCAGACCCAGATTCTTATCCTCTCTAAACCTAGTCTTTCTGCTCTCGCCTCCTTGCCTCCCTAACTCTGGTCTCTCCATCTTCTTCTGTATTCGCTCTCCTCCCTATTCCTCTTTTTACCCCCGTCAGCCTTTCCACCTTCTCGGTCTTGGTCCCCCACCTACCTAGGGTTTCAGGAGGAAGGGAAGGGCTCTTGAGGAGATCTTCTTTCCCGCTACCCACCCTCAACCCCTATTACTCACCTATCTAGAGAGACGGTAGCCAACGTGAAACTGCTGGCGTACATAGTGAGGAAGATGAGAAAGTGTACTGCCTTGCAAAGAAGCGCACCAAACGCCCACCCGTCCAGGGTGTAGATGGTCGCCTGGAAGGGCACGCAGCAAACTATGAAACAGAGATCTGCCACACCCAGGTTGAGAATGAACAGGTTGGTGGTGCTGCTCATTTGGCCGCTGCGCAGCAGCACCGCTAGGACCAATGAATTACCCACCGTGCCCACGAGGAAGATGAGAGCGAAGAGCACTGGTACGATGATTGCCTCGGGCTGCCAGCCCTCCCAGCTACCGCTCACCTCACTGGCGTTTTCTAGGGCAGCCGAGGCATTCACGCTGCAGGGGAAACCTAGGAATCCGTCGACACCTCGTTCCATTCTGCTCCCTGGTCTGAGGTGACCAGCTATTCCAGCCCCTTCGAGCTAGCTCCGGGTCCCAAGTTGCCGCTGCTTCTCATGCACCTTAACCTCTCCACAGCTCAGCTTGCTGCAGAAGCCCTACCGCAGCTCCAGCTGGGGAGAAAAGGATAGAGGCAATCAGGGGGGAAAGCGACTTGGGGGGGGGGGAGGAGCAAAGGAAGCTGACTTTGTCCCAGGGGAACTGCAGGCTGAGTGGGGAAGCTGGAAAACCAAGAATGACCCCCGGTCTCCAAGGAGATTTGGCACTGATGGAAACATCCCACTACCTCAAGGGAGGTGGATGCAAGTAGGGGTTACTACTGCAGTCAAAGGGCTATGTCCCTTTTCTCCTCCTTCTCCCCATTGAGAGATCTTCAATTCTCAGGAGACACCAGCCTCAGGTTTTCCTGAGATTAGAGGGGTTTGCTTCTTATTAATGGTGGCCCAAGGAAAATGCCAGCTGGGAGAAAGTCTGGGCCAACAGAGCAGAAGCTACAAGCCCCTGCCCACAGTTAGGTCTCCCGCTATACCACCTCCTCTTGCCTGGGTTGCAAGGTGAGTTCTCTCTTGGGTGTTTTGCTTGCTAAGTCTACCTGCAGGAGACCCTGTCCTCCAGCTCCCAGCAGCTCAGGCCTTAAAAAATAAAATGCCCCTTCGTGCAGAATGATTAAAAAGAGACAATAGGAGGCCTCTGGAATTTTTAGTGACCCTAAAGTGAACACCTAAGGAAGGGAGAGAACTGCTGCATCAATAGGACAGCTAGGTGGCTCAGTGGATAGAATGTCATGTAATTAGGAAGACCTGAGTTCTAATTTGACCTCCCATACTTACTAGCTGTGCGACCCTGGACAAGTCATTTTACATTTGCCTTAGTTTCCACAAATGTAAATGGGATCATAATAGCAGTTACCTCAGAGAGTTGGTGTGAAGGTCAAATAAGATAATACTTGTAAAGTACCTGGCACATAGTAGGTACTAAATACGTGCTAGTTCCCTCTCCCTTAGGTGGGACTTCCTCTTTCTGAATCAGGGCCTGTAAGACAGGGGATGTGGCTCTGGAAATGGGTTTGTTTGTGTGTCCATGTTCATAAGTAGGCGAACTCTTATTAGTTTCTTATCTGCCTCTCCCCTTATCCCAATCACTATCTTATCCTTCCTTTTTTGTTATTTCTTAAAATGCCACTTGTTTTTCACCTTTCTATTTCCTGTGTGTATGTACACACACACATATACACATTCTCTATACATACATATATACATTCTCTATACATACATATATACATTCTCTATATAATTTGTAATACTTTGGTAGGTAAATCACTTCTCTTCTCTGTGACTCATTTTCTTCACGTGTAAAATTAGAACATTGGACTAAATTGTGGAAGTCTCTTCTACTTTCTCTCTTCCTGGTTTGGGGAAAATTCCCAGTGTTCCCAGTAAATGGGCTGTCTTTAATGACCTAATCATCAGACTACAGACAACTCGGTGAGAGGGACAGCTACTTTCTGGGTTGTTTCTCTTTAAAGAATAGCTCAGAACCATTAACACTGGGCTCTGAATATTTGTTTGTGATCTCTCGAATATTGGAGCATCAGAAAGTAGTAAGAGGTAGTAGAAAGAGCACTAGTCTTGAAGTCAGTAGATTTGGGTTCAGAGTTTGGAGACAATCTTCATGAGCTTCAACTTCCTCATCTATAAAATGAAGGTTTTAAAACTTACATTGTCCCATTCCCTGATACATTAAATGGTCAAAGGATATGAACAAATACTTCTCAAAAGAACTGCAAAGTATTTGCAACCATATGAAAGAATGTTCCAAATCACTAATAATGAGAGAAATACTAATCAAAACAACCCTGAGGTCTCATTTCATACCTTGCCAATGGCAAAAAATGACCAAAAATTGGCAACAGTTGATGTTGGAGGGGTTGTGGAAGGATGGGCACACTAATACATTATTGGTGGAACTGTGAAATATTTTGGAAAGTATTTTGAAATTGTGTAAATAGAGTGACTAACATGTCTATGCTCTTTGAACCAGAGGCTCCATTACTGGGCTTATACCCCAAAGACTCCATTGATAAGAGAAAGCCTCCATATATTCAAAATGTTTAGAGCAACACATTTTGTGATAGCTAAGAATTGTTGTATATGAATGTAATGGAATATTATTGTGCTATAAGAAATGATATGTGATGGATACAGAGAAACATGGAAAGACATATCAACTGATGCAGAGTGAAGTAAGCTGAGCAAAGAAAACAATATACATGGTAACTGCAACACTGTAAATAGAAAGAACAACTACATAAAAAAAGCAAAGTGAATGTAAGACAATTACAAAGATCAAGTTGGACTTGAATGAAGAGATATGAGAAGACATCCCCAATCTACCATTTTGTGGATGTGGGGGTTCCACAGGTGTTACATATTGCATACGTTTTTGGACTTTTTCAATGTATCAATCTGTTCTGCTGGGGGTTTTTTTCTCTCTGAAAAATACTACTTCTTATAGGGGACCGCTCTTTGGAAAAGGGAGTGTGTGGAATATTTGGGATAACTTTAGTGATGTAAGACATAAAATATCAATAAAAGCTTATAAAAATAAATTAAAAATATTGTATTGCCTATCTCACAGGTCTGTTGTGAGGAAAAGTGCTTTCTAAACCTTAAAATCATATAATTGTTGTTAATTATTATTGTTCTCCCAGTAGATTAGTCTAGCTTTAGTCATTGACCATTGAATTATTGTGGAATTGATTCAGTGCTCTATATTTCTTTGCTTATCTAAAGCAATGCTTTATTTTTTGTGGCCATGAGAGAAAAATCAGATCATAGACATTCCATTAAGAGCTATAGCTAAGTTCTTCTTTGAGTGCATAAAAGGGTGCTCAGTGTATGATTAGTCTTACAGCTGAATTGAGAAGATGCTGGATAAATAAGATGATAAAGAATTGAAAGACAAATGAGAGTAATGAATAACAGGGTGCCATTGGAACATTCCAGGAAAGAATATAACATATTAAATGGAAAATTAAGCACCATGTTGAGCAGGTACTTTTTATTGTTCTGCCTAAAGGCAGAAAGGGTTCTTATAAGAAAAAACATTTTCCCATAGTACATCAAGTTAACAATGACTAATCTGCTTATAGCCCCTTTTTCAGTAACGTCAAGATCTAGAAATACAACAGAAAGGGAGAGGCTTTCATGTTTCCACATTCCCCCTCTTTGTGCTGTTAGAACACAAGGGTCATCGTCCTGAAATTGAAGACTTTTCTCATAATCAATGAGGATGAAAAAGCTATTATCCTTAATTATGGCCAGGTGACCCTTACCGGAGTCAAGGACCATGATGTAGATCTCATTTATTTGAGAGAGATTAAAAGTGGTGGTTGCTTGACACAAAGGCTTTTTTTTTTTAATCATGACCAAAAGAACAAAGTCAATGATACAGGTAAAGGACATAGATATGATTCCCACTGCCCACTCTCCAATCTCACGAATGCCTAGCCAACTATCCAAAAAGCAGAAGATACACCTCCTTGTTCAAGGTTATCATGCAATCTATTAACTTTATTTGCATATAGTTAGTCTTATTTGTAAGGTTTTTAGTATAGTTGAGGATATAGGTGTTGTACCTCCCTAGGTTCATTCTTTCAACCCCCACTCACATTAGCATGTTGGGACCTCAGGGGGTGACTCACTATTCCTCTCTTCAAAATTCTAGGAATAAGTCTGAGGGGCTACTATTGCTCATGAGCCCCCATTTGGTGTATTATTCCCAATATTAATCAACCAGTTGACATCAATTAGCTTTTGTAAAGGAATATTTACCACGAAAGCATAGCTTGAAATGAGAGTGCAAAAATATTGCCCAAACTGAGATTGGCACCCACTCCATCCATGGGGAGAGTGGGTCCACGTTTAAAGTGGTTGGTCCTAAACATTCCCTCTCCCCATACCCTAGGGATAAGCTGTTTCTCCCTTACAGACACAATATCCCTGAGGAGAGTGGGCTCAAATTTGAAGAACAGTAGTACTGAGACACTCATAGAGGGAATGTATGGGATGGAATAGTACCTTATGACTCAGCCCTGGGAGATCTTTTATTCCCTCAAAATTCACTTCTGACTGTGGTGTTGCTGATAAAGAAGTTGTTCTCTTTTCCAACTAAGTTTGGTTCCTTGTAGATGCAGTGTCTCTACTGATAGGTCTACTTCTGGGTTGGGTCAAGCAGATCTATCCTCAAGGCTGGCTCCTTGATGGGTTCAACTACTGCTGTTATAGTCTCTCTCGGTCTCTGTTACTTACTACAGTTGCTGAGGGAACCTCTGATGGCTCCTTCAACCTCTTGAGCCTCACAGGGTCATAATCTGATCTATTCCATCGTTAGACCACTAAGTGAATGGACCATTCACTTAAGATCAGGAAAGAATAAACACAAAATAAACAGGCACTGTATATTCAGGGATGCATAGCTTATAGGTGGGGAGATAAGACAGCCTCAGTCCCTCCCTTATTCAGCAGCTTACAGAACATCTTTCTCACTTGAAAGCCAAGAGTGAAGACAAAGAGAGAATGTCCTCTTGAACCCTTTATATGCCCAATTTATTCCAGCTCAGTCTGCATCATCAGTTCTCAACTAACCAGAATACTTTTCATCACCCCACAGTATTAGCCCCTCAGTGACTCATGGCTAGAATAAGGCTCACAAAACTCCATGTGTTGGATTGAAACCAGGTAGGGAATACTATACACGCTTTGAGAAGTAAGGCATTCATTGGCCAGTCCCATTACACCAGAAGATGACAGGTAGAGTTGTGCTCATTTAGCCCACTATCCTACTGCCTTTTTGAATGAACATGTGGGAGCCAACATCCAATTTCTCCTATTACAGTTAGATTTCTCGTGGCCATTTGTAGTAAGAGCAATAGCCTTATCCTTTGCCCATGCAGGTTAGGCTTGTTTTTCCTTAAAAG